TCGGGAGTTGTGATGGCACCTACTAATGTGAGCTAGACAAGCCAAACCTTTAACAAATTACTTCATTATCCATTTCGTTCTTTTTAAAAAACATAAAACGATAACGTATAAACAACGAAAATTTAAATTAAGCAGAAGAAAACAATGAAATATCTGAAATCTATATTTTTTACAACAACTTAGGCCTTAATCACCCAAACCTGGTGTCACAGTATCACAGACGGTCTAAGATTTACTACATACAAAGTCTGAAGAAAATAAAAATACACTATTTCTGAATTAATAAAAATTAAAAGGGAATAAGGGATAGAGGGAGACGCCAGGGCCTGCGGACGCTTGCAGGTCTACGTTGAATCTCCGCATGGACTGAAGGAAGCCTTCAAACTACAGTCTAAGAGCTGCTCCGGGATCTGCACATAGTGCAGAGTGTAGTATCAGCACAACTGACCCCATGTGCTAGTAAGCGTCTAGCCTAACCTTGGCGAAGTAGTGACGAGGCTAGGACCAGACTACCAAATAAACCTGTGCAATTCAAATATATACAACAGAAAGGAAATACATAAATAATAGTCAAGTATGGGAGGGGGAGCATGTTGCAGGGGAGATATCAATTCCGAATAGAAATACAACATGTAAATGAAAGGAGCAATATATCTCGGATATCAACGAAAGAACCAGAAATCAATAAATGCACGGCATCACCCTTCGTGCTTTTACTCTCTTCCTCACCAAAGCAATCATATAATAAAAAATATGCATGGCATCACCCTTCGTGCTTTTACTCTCTTTCCTCACCAAATAATCAATATAATCGGCAAGGAATGGTACATCGTACGACATGGCATCACCCTTCGTGCTTTACACTCTTTATTCACAAATCATACACGGCATCACCCTTTGTGCTTTACACTCTTTCCACACAAAAAAAGACACGGCATCACCCTTCGTGCTTTAACTCTCTTCCTTACCCAATCAACAATCACAAACAATAGAGCAAGGAAAATAAATGAAATTTGCAATAATAATCCCAGCAAGGGAGCAATAATTCAATGACAAGTCCCGGCAAGGGAGATAAAAAATAAAGCAACAATAGCCCGGCAAGGGGGGCAACATAATGATCTCTTCTCTTTCTCACTTTTACTTCACAATTCACTTTACCACTCGAGCCAATGCTCCAAAGGTTCAATTATCACTTATACTTTCACAATTCACTTCACAACTCGAGCCAACGCTCCTCAATGTTCATAGGTCACAACTCCTTCCACAAACTTTAAACAATCAATAGAAACCATCACCAAGGCATGAAAGATACAACGAAGTCATGATAATCACAATATAAAGACTCATGGGCATGCTAAACACCAATGTATAGATACTCGTCACCATGCCTATATGCCGTACTCAACAATTACCACATAGCAAATAGGACTCGACTCCTAATCCCTCAAGCTAAGGTTAGACCAAACACTTACCTCGATGCCACGAACACAATTCACGTTTCAATTATAGCTTTACCCCTTGATTCCGCCGCCAATTTCCTCGTATCTAGTCATAAGTTACTTAATTACATTAATAAACGCTAAATGAATCAACCCCAATGCATGAAAATGAGTTTTCTAAAGTTTTACCTAAAAAGTCAAAAATTGCCCCCGGGCACATGGTCAAAACCCGAGGTTCGAACCAAAACGCGATTACTCATTCCCCCAAGAACCCAAATATATAATTTGTTTTGAAATCAAACCTCAAATCGAGGTCCAAATCCCCAATTTTTGATAAACCTAGGTTCTACCCAAAACACCCAATTTCCCCCATGAAAATCATTGATTTTAAGTTGAAATCATGTTAAAAGATGTTAATGATTGAAGGAAATGAGTAAAAATTAACTTATAATCAATTTGGAAGAAGAGTTGTTCTTGAAAAATTGCCCTAGGGAGTTTGTGTTTTGAAAAGATGTGAAAATGGGTCAAAAATTCGTCTAAGTATAAAAGTTACAGGTCGCCGATGTGAGAATTGCGAACAGGGGTTCGCAATTTCGAACCCCGACCTCTGCTATGTTGGGAAATGCGAAATAGGGCTCGTATTGCGAACACTTCAGAAATGTTGGACTTTCGCATTTGCAACAGAATGTCGCATTTGCGACACATATGTTGCATCTCAAGCATTACCAGAAGACATCGCATTTGCAAAGGGACACTCGCATTTGCGAGGTGGAGCTAGCTTGGGCTTCCTTCGCAATTGCGAGATGCCACTCGCATTTGTGATATCGCATTTGCCAAGCCTGCAGGCCTGCTATGCACATCTGAAAATCTGCAACTTTTCTAAGTCCAAAATGCACCCTGTGGCCTATCCAAAACTCACCCGAGCCCTCGGGGCTCCAAACCAAACATGCATACCAACCTAAAAATATCATACGGACTCGCTCGTGCATTCAAATCACTAAAATAACATCAACAACTATGAATTTAGCATTGAAATCATGAAATTTTCTCAAGAACTTCAAATTTCTAATTTTCTCAAAAATAATCCGATTCACGTCGTTTCAAGTCTGTTCCTTACCAAACTTCACAGAAATATCTTAAATCACATATAAGACTTGTACCGGGCGCTGGAACCAAAATACAGGCCGGATACTCTCACGTTTTAATCAAAATTCATTTCCATACCTCATAAATAATTTCAGAAAATAATTTTCTTCAAAAATTTATTTCTCGGGCTTGGGACCTCGGAATTCAATTCCGGGTATACGCCCAAGCCCATATTTTCCTACGGACCCTTCGGGACCGTCAAATCATGGGTCCGGATCCGTTTACCTAAAACTTTGACCAAAGCCAAATTAATTCATTTTATAGTCAAAATTTATCATTTTTCACAGATTTTCACATATAGGCTTTCCGGCTACGGGCCCGGACTGTGCATGCAAATCGAGGTAATGCTAAAAGAGGTTTTTAAGGCCTCAAAACTTAGAATTTTATTTTAAAACAAGTGATGACCTTTTGGGTCATCATAGTTTGCAGAAAACTCTAGCATCTACCTTTCTTTTCCCTAACAGCTTTATACAGTTTGGGGGTGCATGCTGCATAAGGGCTTCCTCATGCACATAATATTTCAAGTAGAAAGTCAAAATTTTACTACAACTTTACTACAATTTCGTAAGTGTAATGTATGTCGTGTCTTCTTCTTCTTCTTTCAATCTGAAATTCAACCAAAATCAAGTCTAATCTTCACCAAAACACCCCTCAAAATCAAGATATAAACTCCAAACAATATTCTCAATTACTTACAACAACACCCAATCCAAACAAATAATGGTTTTTGAAAACCCAAATTCGAATTCAAAGCTTCAAAGATTTTTAATGGCTATCAATGGAGGAGAGCCAAACACCTTCAAAATTTATTGATTGACAATTTCAATTTAAACACCAATTGTGCAACATGAAAGGAAATTGCTAAGTTAAAACTCTATAGTAAAACGATTGAAATCCATTGATGAATAGCATTAAAAATATAAACAACATGAAAGGATAAAAAATAGAGGGCATCAGAGGAAAAAAAATTGGGAGACGAACAGAGAATGAGAGATTGAGAGATAGAGAGATAGATAGAAAGAGAGAGAGAGAGAGAGAGAGAGAGAGAGAGAGAGATAGAGAGAGAGAGAGAGCAGGAGCGAGAGAGAATAAGGATGGAAAATTATTGATTCCTTATTCAATTCCTAATATAAAGGGATACTCATTTAATTTATAATGTGTATGTAATTGGTAAATTGTATATGCCTATGTAATTAAATTAAAACTTGAGTAGGGAGGGTAATAAAATTTCAAATAGTGTATAAGAAGGTAAAAATCCCTATGAGATTTGGCATGGCATGACAACCAGGTCCAATAGTTGGCATAAAAAAGCCAATATTTTAGGATTTGACATATGATACCCTAAAGTTATTCTCTCTCTTCTAATAGTTCAACCACCATCCTAAAAAACAAGCTCAATCAAAATTATTTTCCTTAAAAAGATC